ACACACACACACACACACACACACACACACACACACACACACACACACACACACACACACACACATCCTCAAACACTCCTCCTCCTCCTCACCTTCCTCTCTCCTTTCTTCTCCACAGGAGAGAAGAATCTTCCCTCTGACTGCTGCTCTCAGACTCTTCCAGGACTGAGAACTACTCGGTGTTGCAGCGAGCTGCTTCCCAGCAGCAGCGCACTGATCGCCCCATCCTTCCACTGACACGCACGGAAGCAGCTCACGAGACAGCACGCATCTGTCCAAAAAAAAAAAAAAAAAAAAAACCCTCCCAGAAAACTATGTTTCTCTCATAAAACCCCACTGTCTCTTTTTAATTTACTTATTTTTTGGAAAGATGTAAACATGTGATGCCAGCACAGTCCTGTCCATGAGCATCATTTCTCCCCGGTCCTGACCAGCTCAACCAAAGACGCGTAAAGTGCGCGTGATTTCCAAACAGATGCCAAAGAGGCAGAACAGCAGCGTTTTATTTAAAAACAAATAATCTTTAATATAAGTAATTAAGAAATAAAGGCACAAGCTACTCACCCTGCAGAGTAAAAGAGCTGGAGATGCTTAATGAAGCCTCTCTCCTAAAAAATCTGCTTTTTTTGTTTCTTTCCCTGAAATCGTTCTGCTCCTGTGTTTCCCCTCGCTCTGCTCCTCCTCTGTCACTCCTCTCTCCTTTACTCCGCTGCTCTTTCAGCACTGCGGAGAATCGCTTGTAGTTTGTTCAGAAGGAGGTGGGACTGGTGTGTCCGTGCGCGCGCGCGCGGATGTGTGAGTGTGTGTGTGTGGAGTATGGGGGGTGAAAGTGATGCAGGCTTGAGGGAGAAAGAGAGGCTCACGCGCACATGGTGTGAGAGCACGCTGCTGCCTGGAATCGAGGACACGTCCAGCAGACTAACAGCGTGACTGATTCCGACCAACAGCAACGATTACAGACGTGTAACTCATTAATGAACAATGCACACAAACATGACTCTGATGTGGCTCAGCCTCAGTCTTTTCCACACAGCATCACGGGAAAATGATTGACAGTGCAGGGGCGTGACTGAGGGTGGGCTTGGTGGAGCCTGGACCCACCCAACCAAAAAGCTGAGTTTATTTTCTCTCTCCTTTTTTTGGCTCTTATTGTTTAACAATTACCTAAAAAACACTAAAACAATTGATATTACTAAATAATTTAAAATGCTGTTTTGTAAATCAGTTTGGGAGCTATGTATACATTTATTTAACCAGCTACAGTATTATCAGTTTTGCAGTCCACCCACATCTGGTTAGAATCACCTGAAAATATGTTGTAGTATACACCATTACAAGAAGACAAATATATAAACATGCATTTTAAATTGTTTTATTTATTTTTCAAACCATTCAGGTCAAATCTTCTAAAAAATGCGCATAAAGTTCTCAAAATGTGCTGCAACGTAAGAGTTTTTGCTGTTTAGCAATGTTTTCAAACGGAAATAAWAATGATGTGCACGTGTTGCCAAGTGTTTGTCTGCTCTGCCTCCGTAAACTTTTTCATGGCTGACTGGCTCCTTTGGCCTCTGGCGACCCCACAGACTGGTGCAGAGGGCCGTGACTCATTGTGTTTGTACATGCATATAGAAAAATAAAATAAAAAATATTACACCTGATCAAATTACGCACATGCAAATGCATGCTTACTCTTTGCTTCATATATCAGGTGAGTTTTTGTTTTAAATAAACACAACATTATGGATGATTTGAGAAACACCGGTGCAAACTGACATAACACGTTTTCTCTTATTTATGCTTCCTGCAACAATAAACTGATGTGTCCAACAACAAAGTCTGTTTTATAAAGTCTGTAGGATGTCATCATCTTTTAGTGCAACAAACCTGCTCTGACCTGACAAGTGCTGTGTGGTCTCCATAGGGGGCAGACTCAGTGATAATCCCACCATGTTTACCACTGGTTCACATGTTTGTGCTTTCAGCTGGATCAGCTCTAAAATAGGTCGACCCCCCTTCAGGTGGGCTCCTATCTTTCTACCTCTATAATATCATATCCAAAAGGGGATACTGTAGTTTTTTACCCCTGAAAATATCTGTAGACTGCGAGGAAATAGTTTGTCAGCGTTCCAGGCTGTAAAAATCATCCTGGAGTAGATTTAAACAGGGGCGGTTCAAGGGATGGGGCCACAGGGGTATAGGCCCCATCTGAAATCAGATTGGCACCCTGAAGTGCCCCTGTCCTTTCACTCGAACAATGATGGTGRCTGCAGTTCCACCTCCAACCACTAGTGGCGCCAATGAATCAAATATTAAAGTCCAACATGAAGCAAGCTTACAGGTCTTTTTCAATTTAAACAATTGCAGAAAAAAAATACTGACAATGATGGCTAGATTTTCTTACATGCTGTGTGTTTGAGATTATTTTATTTATATACAGTTAAAAATCATGTAAAATTGATAAGGATAATTTACTGTGCAAGTTTTTACAAGTGTTTGAACACGTGTGACTGATTAAATGTATATACCTTACAAAAACTGGGCATTTTTGTGCAAGCATGTTGAACAAATACTTTGCCCCTCTATGAATATTGGCTCCTTACACTGAAAAATCCTAGATCCACCACTGGATTTAAATGAAAGTTCAAAGTTTACATTTCCAGTAAAACTTGTCTCGGTAGAGATGGTTTCTGAAATGGAACCCAGAACAGCTGAGAATCACCACGTYTGCTGCCATTTCTGGTGTAATATGCAGCCTGCAATCACAAACACAGTAATAGCAAGAGAGCACATGGCCTAGATAACTGGTTCTTCCAGAGTCAGGCCAACTGGTCCGGAGTCAAAATGCCTTCTGCTTCTGAACAGAACAGGGGGGTGGGGGTGGGGTGGGGTTGCATCCATCACACTTTGATGAACTTCTGCATCTCCACAGCTGTTTAAAATTTAAAGCAAAAACTGTCAAACGCGTAATGAGGTATAAATACKTGTACAGTAAAGGACTGGAAAGAAAATACAGTCACTGCACTCAGACGGGTGACTGACTGGATGTGGTTAGTTAGGCCTCAGCTCCAATAATTAGTTTCGTTTTTTTTAAATGGAAAAAGATACAATCCTTTTACAGAGAAGCAGAAATTCCACCCAAACACATGCAAATATAGAGTATTCATGCCATACCAGTAATTATATTATTGACATATTTATATTCCGATTTCTTCTAACAAGGTCAGTAGAAAGCCAACCATGTAAAAAAAAGAGAAAGGTAGGGATTTTTACAGTAATCTGCTACATCAGTGTTTCATCATCAAAATCAGTTTGTAAAGAAATTTAGTTAAAAAACACTTTTCATTTAAAATATGAGGTTGGTTTGAATAGTAGATGCAAAAGCATCTAAAATCTGTTCTGTAAAATATTTATGTTATTATGGGGCGACAAGTGTAAAATGAACTGTTAAAAAATCACTAACATATCTTTCATTATTTRGCTCAACTGAAATTTGAACAACCAACATTTTGTTGTTATACAAACGTACATTTTAGTGTTAGAAGCGTTAGCAGAAGTTAGCGTCAGATATCATCCTGCAACAAACAACAATGGCCGTTGCTAGCCACTGCTAATTATCACTAACATTGCTGTTTGAACAGCAGAATAATGTTTCTCAAGTTGGAAATAGGCGCATAAGGACTTCATTGTGCTGCATTCCACCAGAAGTCCAGAACTTATGATTAATTTTTAATGCTCAAGGACTAAAAAGCTGCATTAAGTTTAGACCTTGTGGATTTATAAAGGTGTTTTATTCATCTCTGTGCAGCAAACACACATTATTAGATTTACCTGTTTTTTATGCATCGAAAAACAAAAATATATTTTAAATTTGACCACAACGGTAAAATAATCACAACAATTATCAAAACAAACACTTACATCAAGTCTACAGGACATGAACCGCCTCATTGGATAGAAAGGTTCAGGAGGCAGAGTGGGCGCCTCGGCAGCAGCAGCCCTGTCAGCACTGAGCACAAACTTCTGCTTAACACAGCACATAAAAAATCTCCCAGTGGACATGGAAACCTACTCCCTCTGCCTGAGGCATCCTTTAAAGAGCTCCACTGTGGGGTAATTGAAGTAAAACTCTCTTGGCACCAAGATGCTAAAGGGATAACAGGGCACCGATCCACAAATGCACACTGTCGCTTTCCTCTTTCACACCGAGCCGCCATTTAATATATGTGGTTTATTTTTAGCTCTTAAGCTTCAAGAGATGGAAAAAAATAGTCTAATAAAAGTAGGTTGGATCTACAATACATCAGTTGCACAATTTAATTTAATAAGAGCTAAAATATAAGTGTTGGCATAGTGGGAGGTGATGTAAGAGAAGCTGCACCGTGTGCTGAGTCCTTAAAGATTGTCTTTCTCCTTCCCTCCTTGTGCTTGTTTTATTCCTCTGGGATCCCTCCTGCCCCCCACTCTTCCTTGCCCCTCGCTCTATTTATAGCTCCCTGTCAGGGAAATCCAATTCACGAGCAGAGCTAAAAATAGTCGGCTCCACGTTGATCACGTGAGCAGAAATGTTGAAAGAAGGGGTTTCTTCACCGGTGGACTGCAGAGACGTGTGCTGCAGTAAAGGCGGGTGAAGAGAGGTTTTAGCTGCACTAAAAGAAAGTAAATCATTGCAGGAAAGGGTTGAAATTCTGAAAACATAAAAATGGACAAGACAGAGATAAGATGGGTTTAAAACATTTATTTTATTTCTTTGTTTTAAACATTAAGCAGATTTTGTTACAAACTTCAGGGTGATGATGCATGAGAACATGCTGGTGAAGACAGACACATGGGTTAGCTGATGAATAAATACATATCATAAAGTCTACAGAAAGAATAATAGATAAAAATTAATTTCTATATTTGAATTTGAGCCCATTTGTCCCATTTATTACATCTTTTGTTCAAGGTTTAGGTTCCCGAGTTAAAAAAGAAAACCAGAGTTGTAAAGTAACTAAGTACAAATGGGTGTGCAACAATACATGTACACATACCGAACCGCATCCAACAGCGCTTTAAGTTCAATACACACTTGTATGGAACAATACAGATTTTTAAAATTAATTTTATCAACTTGTCTTCTGAAGATGCTCTGTGTTGAAGGATCAGTGGATCTGTGTTCCACTACTCCACCTAGGCTGTATTGTCGAGAGCAGGTCCACTGAGAAACTTGCTGTTTCATCCATCCATCCATTTTCTTCCGCCTATCCGGGGTCGGGTCGCGGGGGCAGCAGCTTCAGAAGGGAGGCCCAGACCTCCCTTTCCCC